ACGCCCATATCACAAAAGTACAAATTGCAGCTAATGCCACATCTTCTGCTTAAAGGTTAGACATTTGATGCACACTGCTAGAGCATTGTTTCTGATAGACAAAGCGCTGCAAAAAAAATCAGATCTATTTCTCGTTTTCGTTGTTATTACTGACAAAAATGAAGTCGAGTGAAAAAAAAAAAAAACCTTCAACAATCGCACAGCTCTATAATTTGGAGATGAATATTCTTTTCTTGTTACATGATTAATCAGAAATATTTGACCGCCCACCTGGATCTTTCCGCGGGCCACCATTGGGCCGTCGCCCGTGGGTTAAAGAAAACGTTTGAGTCATTTTTTAGGCCCCATCTTCCCTCTGCAAAATTTCAGCATCGCTGTTAGTTGTTTTTTCCAGACTACCAACAAGAAGTGGTGGAATTATTTAAGTAGTTTTAAACCGTACTAAAGAATTTAAACTTAAAGGAATGCACAAGAGGTATAATACATGTGCAAGTTTGGGTGCTAATGGGGCAGTGATGCACAATATAAGACGCAACTTTCACAATGAGGAAAGCAATAGAGAGACTATTGCTTTTTAAAATTTATAGGTATACACTGTATAAGAAAAAATCCAGTTACCCAATTTGGCGTCCCCCCCCTCCCCCCAGCTAAAATGAAAGCAAGTACGCCAAACTATTGATGCACCAACCAGATGTACAAGAGCTGTCAACTGGATGGGTGGATCAGAAGGTATTCATGTCAGTAATTTGAACAATGTCGTTAATTAAATCACACAGATTTTGATTGTCAAAATTATGAGAAAATTTTCTTTCTTTCTTTCTTTCTTTCTTTCTTTCTTTCTTTCTTTCTTTCTTTCTTTCTTTCTTTCTTTCTTTCTTTCTTTCTTTCTTTCTTTCTTTCTTTCTTTCTTTCTTTCTTTCTTTCTTTCTTTCTTTCTTTCTTTCTTTTCTTTCTTTCTTTCTGTTCGGTCGGTCGGTCGTCGGTCGGTCGGTCGGTCGTCGGTCTTCTTTCGGTCGGTCCGTCGGTCTTTCTTTCTTTCCTTTCTTTCTTTCTTTCTTTCTTTCTTTCTTTCTTTCTTTCTTTCTTTCTTTCTTTCTTTCTTTCTTTCTTTCTTTCTTTCTTTCTTTCTTTCTTTCTTTCTTTCTTTCTGTCGGTCGGTCGGTCGGTCGGTCGGTCGGTCGGTCGGTCGGTCGGTCCGTCGGTCTTTCTTTCTTTCCTTCTTTCTTTCTTTCTTTCTTTCTTTCTTTCTTTCTTTCTTTCTTTCTTTCTTTCTTTCTTTCTTTCTTTCTTTCTTTCTTTCTTTCTTTCTTTCTTTCTTTCTTTCTTTCTTTCTTTCTTTCTTTCTTTCTTTCTTTCTTTCTTTTATATTAATCCATCTGTCTGTCTGTCAGTCAGTCAGTCAGTCTGTCTGTCTGTCTGTCTGTCTGTCTGTCTGTCTGTCTGTCTGTCTGTCTGTCTGTCTGTCTGTCTGTCTGTCTGTTTGTCTGTCTGTCTGTCTGTCTGTCTGTCTGCTTGCCTGCCTGCCTGCCTGTCTGTCTGCCTGCCTGTCTGTCTGTCTGTCTTTTTGAACAGAAAATATTGCTGCTTTTGGAGTTATGCCGCCCTCTGTAGCTACACATGTTGCTCATAGCCCACATATGGCCCTAAAGATAACTGATCACTTACCATGATAACATCGTCGGAAAACCCCAGAGCTACATACTCCTCCCCGCGCACCATCAGCTCAAAGGTAGCCATGCCTGCCGTCTCGTTCACAACGTAGCTGACAGCGGCCTTACAGTTTTCCCCATTGCAGTATGTTGGGTACAGGAGGCAACCTTTGGTGTCTCCGCACTGGCTCCAGTCGATGGGGGCAACCGTTGCACTGACAACCGGGGTCTGTGGAACATAGACATGGTAAATTGTAGTATTTAGAATGGGTTCCACAGACATAGTAAATTGTAGTATTTAGAATGGGTTCCATAGACATGGTAAATTGTAGTATTTAGAATGGGTTCCATAGACATGGTAAATTGTAGTATTTAGAATGGGTCCCATAGACATAGTAAATTGTAGTATTTAGAATGGGTTCCACAGACATGGTAAATTGTAGTATTTAGAATAGGTTCCATAGACATAGTAAATTGTAGTATTTAGAATGGGTTCCATAGACATAGTCAATTGTAGTATTTAGAATGGCTTCCATAGACATAGTCAATTGTAGTATTTAGAATGGGTTTAACAGACATAGTAAATTGTAGTATTTAGAATTGGTTCCATATACATAGTAAATTGTAGTATTTAGAATTGGTTCCATAGACATAGTAAATTGTAGTATTTAGAATGGGTTCCACAGACATAGTAAATTGTAGTATTTAGAATGGGTTCCATAGACATAGTCAATTGTAGTATTTAGAATGGGTTCCATAGACATAGTAAATTGTAGTATTTAGAATGGGTTCCATAGACATAGTAAATTGTAGTATTTAGAATGGGTTCCATAGACATAGTCAATTGTAGTATTTAGAATGGGTCCCATAGACATAGTAAATTGTAGTATTTAGAATACGTTCCATAGACTTGGTAAACTGTAGTATTTAGAATGGGTTCCACAGACATAGTAAATTGTAGTATTTAGAATGGGTTCCACAGACATAGTAAATTGTAGTATTTAGAATGGGTCCCATAGACATAGTAAATTGTAGTATTTAGAATGGGTCCCATAGACATGGTAAATTGTAGTATTTAGAATGGGTCCCATAGACATGGTAAATTGTAGTATTTAGAATGGGTCCCATAGACATGGTAAATTGTAGTATTTAGAATGGGTCCCATAGACATAGTAAATTGTAGTATTTAGAATACGTTCCATAGACATGGTAAATTGTAGTATTTAGAATGGGTTCCATAGACATAGTTAATTGTAGTATTTAGAATGGGTCCCATAGACATAGTAAATTGTAGTATTTAGAATACGTTCCATAGACATGGTAAATTGTAATACAAAGTATGATATTAAAATGGACATCGCGAAAACTGCGGCAATCAGAATAGAATAGGCAGGAAACATAATAACATGAACGTTTATGTTGACAGTATGCTGTTCTTAGACGGAATATTGTTTGTACGTTGTTTTCTGTTTAGTCTGATGATGAGTTCTTGTGGATGTTTACTGTTTTGATTTCTAGTAATGACAAAGAATAGATTTGTTGTTTCTTCTTTGTTCCTTTTTTGTGCAAGTGTGTCTGCTAACTCGTTTCCTGGTATGTGAGCCGGGATCCACTGGAGACAGATTTGGCCCCCGCCCCCTCCCCCTTTTTAAAAAAAGTATATTTAGCTGGCGGGTCAGTTCTTTCTCGATGTTGTCTCGTGGATCCCTTTGAGTCGCCTGAAGGACTGACAAACAGAGGAAAAGCAGTTTTGCTGTTTTCCCCCCTCTAGCACTTTGATTGCATCAATAATTGCCGCTGCTCTGCTCTGAAGTTGGTTGATTGTTTTCCGGAGGCACATGACGATTCTACTGTGGTCCCATCTTGCAGCATGATGACCGATCCAACTCCTTCGTTTCTTTTTGCTGCTCCCTCCAGTGATCCATCGGTGTATTCGTGTGTCCATTCGGGTTTTTGATATTAGTTGTAGACATATTCGAGGGTCTCTGCATGTAATAGTAGTTCAGTACTGAATTTAACAATGCTATAAACAGACACAAAGCAATTACGTCACTCGAATGAACGAAAATAAAAAGAACTTGAGTTTTGCGTGCACATCCGTTAACAGATGTTTTACTTCTATGCAGATTGTTAGTTCCTCGCTTTTCAGGCAGCTGCACTTCGACTTGGAAGGAAATATCTCAAATTAGTCATCATCATCATGTGCCTTGACAGCTGGTGTAGGCGCTCATGCATATCTGAACAGATCACGATCTCTGGTTGCCTGGAACAGCTCTCTTGATGATTTCCCTACATGCCATCGTTTCAACCCATCCAGCATCTTCTCTCTTGGTCTGCCTCTACCCCTCTTTCCATTGATCTTTCCAGCTGTCACGATGTTTTCCAATGCCTCTCTTCTCATTTTACGTGGCCAAAGAACAGTGTTTGGCTCCTTCTTATTGTTGTATATAGAGATTTATTTTCATTACCTAATTAGTGTAATCTAAGTAAATGCTGGTTAGGGGGCGTTGGGTGGGTCTATTCTTGTTTCTTCTACAGTGGAGAAGAGGGAAAATGGGGGAAAGGGGGGGGGGGGGGATATTTAAACAAACGAAAAGTAGGCAAGCGAATTTCACAATACAACAAATAGAAACGAGAACGTAAACTTACCAAATACACTGGCGGAATGATAGGTGGGCTGTTGTTGGCTGGTCTGATCACTGCAGATCTCAACCCGTGATAGAAGACATAGAAGCTTTCCACAATCGTGACACTGTCAGTTGAAATTAAAGTTGAATTACAGTCGAGATTAAACAGCATTAAACGTCTATAGTTAAGCACCAGCAAGTAAATCAAAGTTAACAATATGAGAGCATGCAACTTCCCTGTAGCAACATACGGATGTGAGTCGTGGACTATCTTCCAGTCCTTGAGGAAAACAGTATAGGCTTTTGAGCTGAAATGCTAAAGAAAGATTCTCAGAATACCAAGGGGAAATAATAAACGGACATTCTAAAAGATCTGAATTCAATGCTGACTAGCTATTAAATAACATCTTGTCTCTGAAGCTTAAATACTTTTGGTCATTTGAAGCAACAAAGCGAATTTGAAAAAAAAAAAAAAAAAAAAAATAATAGCAGAAGGTATGGTACCAGGAAGTAGTGGCTGGACCGACCAACACGAAGATGGGCACATAATATAACTGACTCTTTGAATATAAAAATACACAAAGCGGGAGAGATGGGGAGAGACTGAGTTTCTCTCAAGCAGACCGTGATGAGAGCAACGTTCTGCAAACGACCTACTACATGATAGTGATGACTACAGTCGAGAGAATCGACTCCACTGCATGCGAGTTTCATCCAAAATGGCTCAGTATCTTTCCACAGAACAGCTAACCGCCTGCCTCATGTATCAAAAGCACGAGCTCTGTAGCTAGCTCCAGCAACGAACCCTGGGGATCTCCGTAAAAACTGCACGCGTGAACTGAATGACGCTTTCGTGAAACGAACCCACAACTTTCAACGCGCAAGGTAAACGGCTTCACCACTTCGCCAAAACAACCACCCCCCCCCCCACACACTTTTTTTTTCTCCTCGACTCTATAAGTACATGTGTGGAACCAGTCGCTGTCCTTATAATTAGTTATCCCGTCCCCACGTGCGACGCACTTTTTCGTTATTTCAAAGCTTCGTTATTTTCATCCCGGCTGTTGTCAGGGGCTCTAAAATAACCTAATGGTTGAACCGGATTTCTAGGACTTGTACTCGTGTGATCCTCATCTCAATGGTGGCAGCCAGTGTTGCCACTTTTCTTTGACTAAAAAAAAAATATCCAAAACGGAGTAAAAAAAATATCTAAAAACATCAAAATTTGCGTGGAAAACATCTAGAAAAAACATCAAAATGTAAAGAGTCACAAATTACATAGCAATTGATATGACTTACCCTATAGAATCATGTCCTCATCTTTACTGAAGTCTGCATTACAAGATCCACAGGATAAACTTAGCTTGGATGATGAAGTTGAAGCTTCAAAATGACTCTAGTATACTTTAGCTGTTCCAATTTCTTTAAATACCCGATCAGGGAGCTGATAAGTGGAACAGCCTTTTCCTACTCTTATCAGGCACAATTTTATTGTCAAGATAGAATTTAAGAGGTCAAATTTATCTTGTTTCTAAGTTAGATTTGATAAATTTACTTTAAATGAATAACATCTAGAAAAACATCTACCATCTAAAAGTCAGAAACGCCATCTAAATGCAAGAGGAAAAATCTAAATCTGGATGTAAAACATCCAAAGTGACAACACTGATGGCAGTTTGTGCCACCGGGTTTTTGTCGCACGTTGTACTGTCCTAGTGGGGGTTGCACGTCCCACACACACACATACACACACGCACGCACACACATACACACACACACACAGTCGCTGTCGCAATATACGCCAGAATATTCTATTGCTCAAACCATATGTACTCCAAATGCTGAATGTTTTCAAGATAGAGTGGGGGACAGAATAGTCGCAGGTAAAAGGACAGACAAATATGCAGATGCAGGGAAACAACGGACAGATTATTTAGGTGTACACAGGGATTGTCTGTCAGAAGGATCGATAGTTTGATGAACAGATAGGCGGACGGACGGACGGAGGGACAGACAGACAGACAAACAGGCAAGCAGACAGACAGACATTCAGGCACACTATCATATATAACAGCAAGAATTTTTTTAAACGTATGTATGTATTACACTAAATTGCTTTTCTAGAAGAAAACTGTAGGTCAAAAATATTATCAACTTACTCAAAAACGATTGGTCCCACGTTGAGGTTGGGAGCCACCCAGGTGGCCTCTACCTTATTGACCGTCTGGTTGTTGCTGTGGGTGACCGTGCTCTGGGAAGCAGAGATATGGCAAGTGCACTATTAACAACAGGCAATCAGAGAGAAGACTTAGATTGCATGGGCAACGTAGGTTTTCTAAAACATCGCCCAGTGTTTTATGATCTAGAGAAGAGCTGGCACAACTAGTTGTGGAGTCCTATGCTCTAAGTGAAGAACTATTCTTAACGCGAGCCAGGCTCGATATCGCCATTACGTGTGATTCCGATCGGCCCCTGTAATGCAATTTGACAAATTTTTAGGGCGGTGTCGGGCGGGAAAAAAGGGGGGAGGGGGGAGGTTCAGCCTGAAGATTTAGGGCCGCATGGCTATTCCGATTCCGATTCCTATTAGGAAAAAATTAAAAGGTCGACCACTTTCAGACTGCTGCTAGCTAGCCGAGGCTGCTAACAGTCTCCGCCTATATTTGTGGTCTGGTTTATTTGCGTCACTTTCGTGACTAAATTCTAGTATTTGCGCCGTTTCTGGGCTTAATGCTTCCTTTCGAGTCAGACCGCTCGTCCTCCACCCTGTTGTTAGCTGTGCGTTTCTTTCCTTTTCTTGTTTGGTGTTTCCTCTTGATTTGATCTCATATTTTTTTGGACAGGCGTATTTCGTAGGAGAGCCAGCTTTTCTACACAACGTCCTTTGGACCACCCCGCATGGCTACAGAAGACAGCATTTTTGAACAGGTTGGAATGGTTCCCCCCCATCCCCCGACAAGCAAACAAACAAAAAGAAACACACAAAAAGCTTCAACTATCTCACAGGAAATTACAACCTTCTAATAAATAAACCAGGAGCTTCTCAACAGCAACGCAAGATAAACTGCATTCTTTGTGAGCCGTCATCAATGAAGAATATTTGAACAAAGAAGACACAAACAATAGTTTGCACAGATTGTAGTCTGGAATATGTTAGTGCATGCCATATAACAACTGATTAACACGAAAAAATAAATAAATTCTTTATAATTGAAATAAGAAATCCACCTCATTCAAAAGTAATGACTGTTTTACAAAGGCACTCAGTTTCACGACTTACTCTTTTTGTCTGCACAAATCTGGATGGGAGCAAGACACATCGATATATCATCATCACCATCAGTCCTGTTTATTAAACATCTCAAATGGCTCCCATTTTACTCCTCCACCCCATTCTATCATGTGCCATTGTTTCAATATCATGGATAGAATCATGTCCTGCACCTTTGGCCTCTCTCAGCAACATTCATCTTAGGGTTTCCTTTGTGCGCCCTCATCTCCTCAGTTCACTGACAGCGAAATACTCCAGGCAATAAACTGTGCAATGGTATCTTTGTTGTTGTTGCTTTGTTTAAATGTACAACAGGAAAACTTTGCTAAATGTGTTGGATACACATCGTATCAATAGCAATATACGATATGACTATACACGTTAGCAGGGGTAGAGGAAAGGGAAATGCATCGGCGTAAGGGTCGCACACTGGCTCGACAACAGACGACTTCGTCGCCGGTCGGGACAGTATTTAGGTCTGTCTTCTTTAATCGCATCAATACTGCAAGTGTACTTTTCAGAGCTACATGGTAGCGAGGGGTGCTAAGACATTTTTATATGTCGTACAGAACTTAGTCACAATTATAACCAAAAGCTCCTCTGTCGGGGACGCTGGTTGAATGTGACGATTTTTTTTTTCGCAAAGCATCGTCATTCTTTTTCTGCCTTTCTATCCCCCAATGGAGCATAGGCCCTCAACCAACTCACGCCAAGTCGTTCTATCCTTCGCCATTGCATGGAGCTCTCCCCATGTCCTCCCAATCTTTATAACTGCATTCTCCAGCTCTCTTCTCCATATGTTTTTTGGCCTTCCTTTATTCCTATGCCCCTGTGTCCTATCCAACGCTAGCGTCTTTTCCTCACTTCTTGGTCCACTGGAGCCTGTTTAGTTCTCTCCCAAAGTTCTACATTAGTTATTCTATCATACCATTTAATTCCCTTTATTCTGCTCAGGCACCAGTTAATGAATGTCTGTAATTTATTAGTAATTGCCTTGGTTGTTCTCCATGTTTCCGCCCCATACAATAGTACTGATTTGACATTAGAATTAAAAATTTTTAGTTTAGTATTTCTTTTAATTTCTTTTGACCTCCACAAATTCCCTAGTGCTATAAAAGCCCCTCTTGCCTTCTGTATTCTTTTAATATCTATATCAGTTCCTCCATCTTTATCTACATTACTGTCTAAATAGGTGTACTCCACGTCTTGGAGTGGGGTGCCATTAAGAGAAACCACATTACTATTTGCCTGATTTATTCTCATTATCTTTGTCTTTCCTTTATGGATTTTCAGACCAAGCTGCTGTGATCTCGCAACAAGTATATTTAATTTATCTTGTATCTATTCCCGTGAACGGGACAGAAGAGCAATATCATCAGCGAAGTCCAGATCATCAAGCTGTTTTGTAGAGGTCCACTGAATTCTATTCTTGGTGTTAGCAGTTTCATCGTCATTATCTACTCCTTATCATCATCGTCATTATTTTCTCCTTATAGTCATCGTCATTATCTCCTCCTTATCATCATCGTCATTGTCTCCTCCTTATCACCATAGTCATTATCTCCTCTTTATCATCATCGTCATTGTCTCTTCCTTATCATCATAGTCATTATCTCCTCCTTTTCACCATCGTCATTATTTACCCCCTATCATCATCGTCATTATTTTTCCTTACATCATAGTCATTATCTCCTCCTTTTCATCATCGTCATTATTTCCCCCTATCATCATCGTCATTATTTTTCCTTACATCATCGTCATTATCACCGCTTTATCATCATCGTCATTATCTCCTCCTTATCATCATCGTCATTATTTTTCCTTACATCATCGTCATTATCACCGCTTTATCATCATCGTCATTATCTCCTCCTTATCATCGTCGTCATCAGCTTCAGCTACATCCTCCTCCACATCACCATCATCAACATGCGATCAAGGAAAACAGACCCAAATACGTAGTCGTCTACCGGCCAGCACATGGGCGACCCGGTGGTCGATGAAAAGGAGGAAGGGTGTGTAGACATCCGTACGTCCGTACCCACAGAGGACTGTGGGTTGTACCTGGCTTGTGTGACTGTTACGGGTGTCCCAGTTACAACTTCTTGAAGTGGGGCATCTACGATCTACCTTGTCGGTCTGTCATCCAGATTGAGACTGTTTAATGCCCTGCTGGTTTAGTAGACCTTTAAGTGAAGTAGCCTGGAGAGGACAAACTAATCGATCGATCGAAGATAATTTAAAACGATAGCTATGACAATAAATATAGCAAGCAGAGACGAGGACTTACGTTCGGCTTTCCCTGGCAATCTATAACTTTTAGCTTCTCCGCTGGAATCAGAGTGTCGTAAGCGCCCAGGATCTCCTCCGTGTTGAGATCTGTTCGATGAGCTCGGATCTGTACCCCTTTGAACTGCCTGTTTCCAGTGGATGATGATACTGTCACTAGAAAAAAAGAAAAGAAAAAAGAAAGAAAGTTTACTATTTGGTTAACGGTTCATCTTGCTAAGTCATCAGGAAGTCTTATTTGGTGATATCTTTCTGTCTTTCCTTCTTCTTTGTTTTCTCCTCCTCCTCCTCCTCCTCCTTCGCGGTCGCCAGCTGAAATCACCTGCGGAAAGTTCGGGCAAATGCTTTCTGACATCTAAGGAAACATGTGTAGTTAGTTTATTCTTACGACTTGCTTTTTAGACTGCAGTGGTTCTAATCTTTGGATTATCACGGGGCACCAGAACCCACGCGGGGATTTAGTCTTTCCAGGTTAAAATGTTTTATTGTGATATGGGTGCAAGGGAATCACAGCCAATGGCAATGGTGAATATTACTAGCAAGATCTGCTCGCGTTATGAAGTCTTAAATAATTAGTTGTTTAGTTAGTCTTTTCTCGTGAGCCTAGGGCGGCGCATAGGGCAGAGGCCATAGCTCTCCATGTCTGGCGGTTCGGTGCCACCTGTTTTAGGTCTTGGATATTTGTTAGGCCCATGGTTAAGCCTTTCCTGATTATGGTTCTTCGCATGGTCTCTCTTGGTCTTCCCCGTTTTCTGTCCCCTTGCGGTTCCCGTATGAGGGTTTGATGGGAGAGTCTTGTCTTATTCATTCTGAGTGCATAGCCGATTTAGTTCCAGCCGCGCTTTTACATAAAACTGGATACATTATCTTGCTTGGTCTCTTGAAATCTGTAAAGTGGAGACTTTGTATTCTGCCAAAACATTTGTTCTTAAAATTGTGTGTTTTTTTTTTTAAATTGAGAGCTACCGCTGCTTTTAAACTCTCGCATCCATAAGTTAGCACTGGAATCACACATGTGTTAAAGATCTTAAGTTTTGTGTGTTTGCTGAATGTCCTTGACTTTCAGATGTTTGACAGTTTGTTAAAAACAAAACATGCCAGTGCGATTCTAGATGCTATTTCTGGCGCTGAGTCGCCTATAGATATAATCTTACTCCCTAGGTATGTAAAGTTGTTGACGTTGTCAAGAAAGTGATTGTTTAATTTGATGTCGCCTGAACTATTGGTAGGATCAATAATTTGTGTGTTTGCGGTGTTAATCTCTGCAGACCTGTTTGTCCTGACAGATTCTGGAAATGGTTTGTTTTCTCTTTAATAATTAGAGCATCAAATTTCAAAATCATTGTCACCATCGCACGTATGTAAAGCATGTGCTTACAGAAATAAAGCTCTGAACTTATCAGTAATAACTGTCTCCTAAATCCATATTCACTTCCCGAACTCTACCCTCCACACACCACGGTCCACGGCAATTTGTTTTTATTAATCCACCCCAGTACCTGTATGAATGAGATCTAATAGACTGAAATGGCTGGGGCAGACTGAGAGAATGCCAAATGACAGAGAAGTAAAACTGTATACACAAAAGAGATGAATGGTCGAAGACCACAAGGCAGACCAGGAAAACGATGGAGAGATAATGTCCAGAGAGACCTGTAAACACTTGGTGTCACTAACTGGAAAGAGAAGGCCTACCATAGATATGAGTGGCGGGATATATCTGCAGCAATAAACTTCAAGGGCTCGAAAAGAAGAAGAAGAAGAATACCTTTATTAATCGTGTTCCATTGTTTAGGCAACACATGATCTCCAAAGTATTGGCCAAGGTTTGTGCTATGAAGATATAATTCTTAGCTGGAACCTGAAAGAATATTGGAACACCTATGAAAAAAAAAAAAGGCTAAGTCTGAACAAGAGAAAAATGAAGTAATTGTATTTAGTAATTAGGGAAGCTGTGGCAAACAGGACGGGCAATCCAGTGATACGCGAACAAAAGAATCATGTGGTTAATCTTTGACTTCCGTGGTGTTATGTACGGTTCAATAAGAAATGATATAGTCTCTGCATTGGGTGTACTGGGCTGAAAAGCGCAGATATTGTTGCCTAGCTGTAAACCGCAATGCCCTTTTAACACATCTTTTAAAATGGAAAACATATCTAAGAATTTAGAAATGGAAAAGAAGAAGAAGAAGAAGAAGAAGAAGAAAACTAAGAAGAAGAAGAAGAAGAAGAATAAGAAGAAGAAGAAGAAGAAGAAGAAGAAAAGAAGAAGAAGAAGAAGAAGAAGAAGAAAAGAAGAAGAGAAGAAGAAGAAGAAGAGAGAAGAAGAAGAAGAAGAAGAAGAAGAAGAAGAAGAAGAAAGTAGAAGAAGAAGAAAAAGAAGAAGAAGAAGAAGAAGAAGAAGAAGAAGAAGAAGAAGAAGAAGAAGAAGAAGAAGAAGAAGAAGAAGACGAAGAAAGAGGAGGAGGGGAGGATTAGGAGACAAAGAAGAAAAAGAATAAGAAATACCTTTAATGCGCTGGTTCGGCATATAAGTTACACTGTCCGTGCTCACGATGTAGGCGTTCTTGTCAAGCTGTGTCTGGGTTCCCATGTGCTTTGGAAACATGGTCAAACAGAGCTCCAAAGTGGCTCCCGTGGGAAACCCACTGACGGAAGTTGTTGCTGTAAAGAAATTATAAAATATTTTATTTATTAAACGATAATAGGAATCCCATACTGAGAACATATATACAACATTGCACTGTTTTCGCATGTCATATTCAATATTACGTCCACGAAAACGTAAGCAGTGTACTAAGTGCATTTGTATAATCAGTGTGCTAAGTGCATATGTATAATCAGTGTACTAAGTGCGTGTGTATATAATCAGTGTGCTAAGTGCTTGTGTATAATCAGTGTGCTAAGTGCGTGTGTATAATCAGTGTGCTAAGTGCATGTGGAAAATCAGTGTGCCAAGTGCGTGTATATAAGCAGTGTTGTACAAAAACAGCATCTACACCTTAAGACATTGAAGACCGCAGTTCAGTGAAATCGATCCTCTCAGCTTTACCTTAACTTTAACTTCCATGATAACAGTGGTGATGATGGTGCTGGTGGTGATGATGGTGGTGATGGTGATGATGGTGCTGGTGGTGATGATGGTGCTGGTGGTGATGATGGTGCTGGTGGTGATGATGGTGATGTTGATGATGATGGTGCTGGTGGTGATGATGGTGCTGGTGGTGATGATGGTGCTGGTGGTGATGATGGTGCTGGTGGTTATGATGGTGCTGGTGGTGATGATGGTGCTGGTGGTGATGATAGTGGTGATGATGGTGCTGGTGGTGATGATGGTGCTGGTGGTGATGATGGTGCTGCTGGTGGTGTTAGTGCTGGTGGTGATGATGGTGCTTGTGGTGATGATGGTGGTGATAATGGAACTGGTTGTGATGATAGTGCTGGTGGTGATGATGGTGGTGGTGGTGATGTTAGTGCTGGTGGTGATGATGGTGGTGATGGTGATGATGGTGCTGGTGGTGATGATGGTGATGATGGTGCTGGTGGTGATGATGGTGATGTTGGTGATGATGGTGCTGGTGGTGATGATGGTGCTGGTGGTGATGATGGTGCTGGTGGTGATGATGGTGCTGGTGGGGATGATGGTGCTGGTAGTGATAGTGGAGCTGGTGGTGATGATAGTGCTGATGGTGATGATGATGATGGTGGTGATGATGGTGGTGATGATGGAACTGGTGGTGATGATAGTGCTGGTGGTGATGATGGTGCTGGTGGTGATGTTAGTGCTGGTGGTGATGTTAGTGCTGGTGGTGATGATGGTGCTGGTGGTGATGTTAGTGCTTGTGGTGATGATGGTGGTGGTGTTGATTATGGTGCTGGTGGTGATGATGGTGCTGGTGGTGATGATGGTGCTGGTGGTGATGATGGTGCTGGTGGTGATGATGGTGGTGATGATAGTGCTGGTGGTGATGATGGTGCTGGTGGTGATGATGGTGCTGGTGGTGATGATGGTGGTGATGATGGTGCTGGTGGTGATGATGGTGCTGGTGGTGATCATGGTGGTGATGATGGTGGTGATGATGGTGCTGGTGGTGATGATGGTACTGGTGGTGATGATGGTACTGGTGGTGATGATGGTGCTGGTGGTGATGATGGTGCTGGTGGTGATGATGGTAATGGTGGTGATGATGGTGCTGGTGGTGATGATGGTATTGGTGGTGATGATGCTGCTGGTGGTGATGATGGTGCTGTTGGTGATGATAGTACTTGTGGTGATGCTGGTGCTGATGATGGTATTGGTGGTGATGATGGTACTGGTGGTGATGATGGTACTGGTAGTGATGATGGTACTGGTGGTGATGATATTGCTGGTGGTGCAGGTGGTGCTGGTGTTGATGGTGGTGATGATGGTACTGGTGGTGATTGTGGTGATTGTGGTGATGATGGTGCTAGTGGTGATGATGGTGATGGTGGTGCTGGTGGTGACTGTGGTGCTGGTGGTGATTGTGGTGCTGGTGGTGATTGTGGTGCTGGTGGTGCTTATGGTGATTGTGGTGCTGGTGGTGATTGTGGTGCTGGTGGTGATGATGGTGGTGCTGGTGGTGGTAATGATGGTGATGGTGGTGCTGGTGGTGCTGATGGTGCTGGTGGTGCTGGTGGTGATTATGTTGCTGGTGGTGATGATGGTGATGGTGGTGATTGTGGTGCTGGTGGTGATGGTGGTGCTGGTGGTGATTGTGGTGCTGGTGGTGATGATGGTGCTGGTGGGGATGATGGTGCTGGTGGTGATGATGGTGCTGGTGGTGCTGGTGGTGATTGTGGTGCTGGTGGTGATTGTGGTGCTGGTGGTGATAATGGTGCTGGTGGTGATGATGGCGCTGGTGGCGTTGGTGGTGATTGTGGTGCTGGTGGTGATTGTGGTGCTTGTGGTAATGATGGTGGTGATGGTGGTGATGGTGGTGATGTTGCTGGTGGTAATGGTGGTACTGTTGGTGATGATGGTGCTGGTGGGGATGATGGTGCTGGTGGTGATGATGGTGATGGTGGTGCTGGTGGTGATTGTGGTGCTGGTGGTGATAATGGTGAGAGTGGTGATGATGGTGCTGGTGGTGATGATGGTGCTGGTGGTGCTGCTGTTGATGATGGTGCTGGTGGTGCTGGTGGTGATGGTGGTGATGATGGTGCTTGTGGTGATGATGTTGCTGGTGGTGATGATGATGGTGCTGGTGGTGATGGTGGTGATGATGGTGCTGGTGGTGATGATGGTGCTGGTGGTGATGATGGTGCTGCTGGTGCTGGTATTGATGATGGTGCTGGTAGTGATGGTGGTGATGATGGTGCTGGTGGTGATGATGGTGCTGGTGGTGATGATGGTGCTAGTGGTGATGATGGTTCTGGTGGTGCTGGTGGTGATGATGGTGCTGGTGGTGTTGATGGTGCTGGTGATGCTAATGGTGCTGGTGGTACTGGTGGTGATGATGGTGCTGGTGGTGCTGGTGGTGATGATGGTACTGGTGGTGATGATGGTACTGGTGGTGCTGGTGGTACTGGTGGTGATGATGATGGTGCTGGTGGTACTGGTGGTGATGATGGTACTGGTGGTGCTGGTGGTGATGGTGGTGATTGTTGTGCTGGTGGGTGGTGCTGGTGGTACTGGTGGTGATGATGGTGATGGTGGAGGTGCTGGTGGTAGCTGGTGGTACTGGTGGTGATGATGATGCTGGTGAATATTATTATTGAAGAAAGAAGCAGGATTCAAACATGACATTAGAGTATGCATACATCAGACAGGCATCTGAGTTTAAATATCTTAGTACAGCATTTACTGAAGATGGTAAATTGGACGAAGAAATAGACATCCGATGCAGTAAAGCAGGCCAAGTATTGGGACAACTTTCACCAGATGAATTACTATAGAGGTACATCAACAAATCTAATACTTACAGCATAAGGCAATCCCAATCAGCACAAAGAAACATCTCATACAAAGCATATTCATTCCTACCCTTCTGCTAGCAGTGCCAGACGTGGTCACTCACAACAAAACATAAACGAAAATTAGTAACCAAGGAAATGAGGTATCTAAGAATAGTAATACTAATAGTGAACAGAAGAGATAAAATAAAAAATGAGGTCATATGAGATAAAGTCAGCACAGAGCCAATTCTAAATGACATACAAAGACAGCAAATCAAATGGTTTGCCCACTTGGAGAGAATGCCTTCTGATGCTATACCGTACAAAGCATATACCAAAAGAGGAGAAGGAGGTAGAGCAAGAGAGAGACCAAATACAAGATGGGAAGATAACATCAGAGAAAATCTACATAACCATGATGTGTCTGTGGCTGAAGCAGCCAGACAAGCACGAAGCAAGACCTTATAAAACCTGAAGCGGTAAAAGAGGACGTAAAGAAGAGGGAAAAGAAGAAGGACAATATTATAAAACCTGAAGCGGTAAAAGAGGGGAAGTAAAGAAAAAGGAAAAGAAGAAGAGCAATATTGAAATCTATGTTGAAAACACAGCAAAACAAAACTAAACATCAAATATTTAAAACAGCATTTAAATTAAATGAACTCGTTTTCTTGTATCCCCATAGTGTTTACGGGTTTACGTTGAGAGGTTCCACTTAACTGTACTGAGTTTTATCCCGCATGTCTCGGTCTCCTTCCACAGAACAGATAGCCGCCTGCCTAGAGCGTCGCACAAAGCTCGAACACCCTGGGTCTGACGACAACCACCGGGGAGTTCCGTAAATACTGCAGTGTGGCTCGAACGGTGCAGCTGTGACATGAACCCAAGACCTTCATTGCGCGAGGCAAACGGCTCGACAACTTGTCCATGGAGGAGCCCTTTTATCCCATATGATAGTAATTTGCAATAGTGTGGATATCTGTTCACGCAATGTACAGGATTTTTGGGAGGGGTATAAAATCAGAGGAGGAGGGGAAGAACATACAAGTAAGAGCGTGATGTAATTATATGGATGAGGAGGGGCAGAAAAAATTCAAAAAAGAGGATGAGATCAGTTGAGGAAATAATAATATAATAATAATAATAGAAAGATTTAAGGCCTAATAAAGAAGGAAGAAACAGACGAAGAATAAGCAGAGAGTAGGTAAAAAGAAGCAGACAGAAAGAATAAGAATAAGGAAGACGCAGACGAAAGAAGAGAAGAAGAAGATGAAGAGAATAAGAATAGAAGAAGAAGAAGGAGAATAGGAAGAAGAAGAAGAAGAAGAAGAGAAGAAGAAGTAAGAAGAAATAGAGGAGGAAGCATTGAATAAGAAGAAGAAGATAAGAAGAATTAAGAGAAAAAGAAGAGAAACGAAGAAGAAAAGAAGAAGAGGAAATAAGAAGAGAAGAAGAAGAAAGAAGATGAGAATAAGAGAAGAAGAAAAGATAGAAGAGTAAGAAGAAGAAGAAGAGGGAGAAGAAGTAAGAGAATAATAAGAGGAAAAGAGAGAAGAAGAAGAAGAAGCGAACGAGAAAAGAATAAGAAGAAGAGAAGAAGAATAAGAAGAAGAAGAAGAAGAGAGGCAAAGAGACAAGGGATGAAGAAGAATGTGAGAAACAAGATAAAATAAAAGAAATAGAGTAACAAGAAGATAAGATGTTGAAACACACAAGATCAAGTCCAGAACAATTTAACATATTTGCTCTAC